GGCGAGGGGGGCGCAGGCTGGGCTTGGCCGGAGCCCCGCACGGGCAGGGGGGGCAGCCGGGCCTTTGGTCGCCCGCAGGAGGCACGGGCCTGCCAACGCCCCCGGGCAGCCCGGGGGAAACTGAGGCACGGAGAGGGGAGGTGCCCGAGGCCACGTAGGGAAACCAGTGGCGAAGCTGGGGATGGGACCGGGAGTCCCTGGGGAACATGCGGCTGGCCCCCTCCCAGCTCCCTGCCCCTCGCAGAACAGGCCTCGCCCTGGGCTCCAGCAGTCGGGGGGCTCGGGGCCTTTCTGCCCCAGGCTGGCCTTGCCGTGGGGCTGGGGGGTGCGGGGGAACGCAGTCCTACCCCCATCCCCATCCTGCACCGGGCCAGGCAGGGCTCGCTGGCACCGGCTGCGAGGAGGAGGAGGACGGCGACGCCATCTCCAGGCCTGTCTGGGGGAAGGGGCGCTCCCGGGGGGCTGTCACTGCAGCAGGGCATGTGCCTCCCACAGATGTTGTCACTCCCAGTCCTCCGCGCAGGCTTCCTGACCAGGAGAGGCGTCCTGGGCCTTGCCACCGTCCGAGCAGCGCACAGCCATGGCGGGCACGGTAAGAGGCACCTCCGCGGGCAGCTGGGGCCCTGGCTGCACCCGGAGCCTGCACGGGGCAGGTGGAGGCTGTGGCCATTGCTGCCCCCCACAGCTGCGGTGCTTCTCGGGGGCCGCGGAGAGGGCCATGGCCTCCACTCAGGCTGAGGCTGGGGGGACCCGTACCCTCCGTGCACCCCCTGCTGCGGGCTGCAGCCGCCAGCCTCCGCACAGGCCCCAGGGAGGCTGCTCTGCCCTGGAGGGGCAGGTGGATCCTGGCCCCAGCTCAGCCCAAGGGTGAGAGGCCCCGATCCTGCCCCCGAGCATGGAGCCCACAACTCCCCCCACTAAAGCTCAGCCTATCCCAGCTGCTGGCTCTGCCTCCCCCGGGTCCCTTGGCCGCGGCGCTGCAAAGCTGCTGCCAGGCAGGGAAGGGATCGTGTTCAGGGCCCAGAGCCTGGCTTGGAGAAGGGGCGTCCTGTCCCCTCCGAAGTCTGGAGGTCAAGGTCAGTGGCTTGCCCATGCAATCCCTAGTCTGTCCACGAGGTGGCACCAGTGCCCCATTAACCCCTTCCAGCCCCCTGCCTTAGCCCTGGTATTTCAGGGTGCTGGTGCCATGCCAGGCGCTGTACAAAGGCAGCAGTGCCCGGAGCGGGCTCCTGAGACGCAGGGTGGGGAGGGAGGGGGCAGGGCTGGGGGCAATTCCTGAGGGGGGGATCTGCCCTGTCTCCGCAGTTGCCATCCAAGACGACATGTCAGTGCCCCACTACCATGATAAGCGCAACTACCCGCTGCCTGACATCCCATACCGCAGGGACCTGGGTGCGGACGAGAAGGCGCTGATGGAGAAGCAGAAGGGCTCCTGGAAGGAGCTGAGCAATGAGGAGAAAGTGGCCCGTATGCAGGAGTCCCAGGGAGCGCGGTCAGGCTGTGGGGAGGCTGGGGAATTGCCCTCTGCCACTGGGAAGGGGCTTGGCATCTGCATGGCTCCCAGCACCCATCTCTTGAGCCCTGGGAGCCCTTCACTCCACGCCCGGGCCCATGCGCTGCACTGCGGTCACACCCGGCTGTGGAGGGTGCCCCACTCCTGGCAGACCCAAGCTCTCAGCTGTGCTGGGGAGAGGCCCCCAGTGCAGTGAGCCCAGCCAGGGTGCACGCTCCAATGCTGCGCATCCTGCTGCTGCAGGTGGAAAGCCCCAGAGATGCCTGAGCCAGGGGGTAGCTCCTATCCTTCCCCCGCCAATGGCCCTGCCACACAGAGCCCTTCACCCCAGTGGCGAGAGGTCAGGTGCCAGCAAGAATCCACACGAGTGGCTGAGACATGGGCCCTGATAGTCAGCCTGGAGCCCGGGAAGCAGTAGCTGCTCCCAGGGGCAGGGCACTTGCCCTGGGTCCCAGGCAGAAGGGCCTCTGGCGCGGCCTGACCCCCGCTGTTGTCCCCAGTCTATCGCATCAAGTTCTGCCAGACCTATGCTGAGATGAACCGCCCGTCCAACGAGTGGAAGACCGTCCTCGGATTCACCTTCATGTTCCTCGGCTTCACGGGGCTCATCGTGGCATGGCAACGGTACTATGGTATGGCCGCGGGCTGCTTTGGGAGTGCGGGAGCTGGGGATGAGGATAGCAGGGCCTTGCTGCGCCATGTCCCGGGTCCGGGCTCTGTGGCAGGCCTGGCCTGGGCAGGTGTAGGAGCTGCTTTTCTGGGGGTCAAGGAGCCAGGGAGGCAAGAGCAGGGTGCTGGGTGCATGAGGGGTCTGTAGGGCTGAGGAGCAATATCCCTGGCCGGACCCAGGCTGCACCGAGGATGCTCAGTGGCTCCCAGCCAGGCCTGAGCGGAGCCCCTGCTCCGTGTCCTGCTCTCCACCAGGCCCCCAGGGGTCTAAGCCCAGCCCAGGGCCAAGGTTAGACTGCACACCTCGTCTTGCCCAGTACCCCTGTGAAGCATCCTGCAGGCTCTGGGCCAGCAGCACAGCTGCGTGAGCAGACGTTCAGGGAGCAGAGAGCGAGGGAACCGATGCCCGGCCCCTGGCTCCTGGCTCCTGGCCAGGGCTGATGCTTCAGCACTGCCAGGGCATGGGCAGCCTGGCCTGCTGCCTGCGGGGCCTCGAGCAGGAGGCCGCATCCAGGCCTGATCCTGAGGCCTGTGGGACCAGTCTCTGGTGGCAGGCCGGGTGGAACCTAGGTCTCCGGGGGCTGGTCAGCATCACGGTTGTCTGCTCTCGCGAACTGCTGTGTCCTCGTCCCTCACCAGTGATGCCCGATAAGCCGCACACACTGTCAGACGAGTGGAAAGCCAAGCAGCTCCAGAGGATGCTGGACATGCACGTGAACCCCGTGGAGGGCCTCTCCTCCAAGTGGGACTACGACAAGAATGAGTGGAAAAAGTAGGGGGGCCCTTCTCTGCCATGCCAGCTGCCCCTGCAGGAAGTGCCCTGCTGCTGCCCTGCCTGAGAAGGATGTGCCCGCCAGAGGCCAGTGCCAGCCCCTGCCCTACTAAACCGTCTCTCTTGTGCCTTCATCCACGTGCCTTGTACTGCATGGGGTGGGAGCTGGCCCAGGTGCTGGCCTGCCCCACGGGGGCTGTCCTGGGCCCTTCCCTTCTCTGGTTCCTGATTAGCACCAGTTTCAAGCACACACCAGGCAGCTGGCACCCGATTGTGCAGAATAAATCACTACAGTTGATGCCAGGCTGCAGCAGCTGTCTTGTCCGAGGGGAGGGGAGACCCAAGACCCATAGCTTTCCAGTCATGGGGCAGGGTGGTGGGGGCAGTGACCGACCCCCTCAGACCTTACCAGGGAGCCGGGTGCTCTTGGTCACACACTGTGACCTCACCTGACCCTCCAGCTGCTGGCAGCTCAGCCCTTCCGTGCCCCTCAAAAGGCCTGGGCATGTAGTTCCGAACTCTGCTCTCCTCTCCAGCCTCTTGCCTGCTGCCAGGCTGCACGCCAGGAGGTGGCGACACTCGCGAGCCTCTGCCCGCATGCCCTGTGCTCAGGGACAGCCCAACCCTCCTGCCCTGCCCAGGCTGTGCACTTGGCACTCACCTGAGTAGTGTGGCTTGGGGTGGGAGCAGGGGAGTGTGTTGCATCCCTGCCTCAGTTTCCCCAGTGGCTGTGAAGAGGCACTGATGTGCGGGGTGGGGCTGGGGGCTGTTCGCTGCAAGAAGAACAGCAGGAGACATGGCTCCAACAACAGAGTTTATTAGTGGACTGCACCTCCACCTGCAGGTCACAGCACATCAGACGCTGCCATGTGCCGCAGGGGCTGCTTCTAGCCAACGGCCTGCACGGGGAGGGGCTGGGGTGGGGGGGCTGCGAGCTGATCGTGCAGGGGCACTGCTTAGTGTCTGCGGCACCCAGCCCTGATCCTGGGGGGGGGCTGGTGCCAGCCCGCTGCGCGCAGAGGGGTCACGAGGGAGCACGGCCAACACACATAAATACAGACACACCGTTAACAAAAATAGTCTCAGCATCTTCACACATGAATAAAACTACTCTGGGCTATGTACAGCGGCGCAGCGTGGCTGGGCATGGAGCCGGGTGCCCGCCAGCCGCGGGGCTGTGTCCTCAGACAGCTGCATGGGGAACTCATGCCCCCGGCCAGACTATCCCTTGCCCAAGGGGGATAACTGGTGCTGCATGCTTCTCACTCCCACACCTGCCCCAGGAGCTGCCAGAGCAGCTGACCCATGGGGGGAGCACAGTGGGCTGGGGGTGCTGGTGGAGGGCTGGGGAGAGAAGGGCAGGCCGGAGCTCTCCCAAAAGGTGCAGCCATGCTGAAAATGAGGCCGATGAGCGCCCCCAGCTCTGAAGCTGCAGCCTGCCCGAGAGATTCACCCTCCCCAGTCCGAGCCCTGCCCCAGGCGTGCATGCCCTGGGACCAAGTCTTGGAGCTCACCTGAGAAACCTCGAGCAATGTTTCCAGCAGCCCCCCAGCCCC